GGAAAAACTCCCTCGCGCATTTAACCCTTCGGGGCGGGCGCGCAAAAAGGAGGTGTGACAGTGAATACAATGAAATACATGGAATACAACGAAATACATTGAATTACAATGAAAAAAGACAATGAATACAATAAAATACATGAAAATACAGTGTGATTCGTTGAAAATACATTGAAATATATTAACAGAAAAATAAGTTGCTCAACCCCAAAACCCGTCGTCTTTGTTCAAGAACAAACCCGAATTTCCGACGAATCCGCCGTCGTGCAAAAACCCTGAATGGAGACGGTTGTTGTTTTTATTAAAGCCTTTCAATGTGTTACCGACAAACCAATCAGATAACAATTTTCACTTCAGAAACCCTAAGGCACATAGTTAAAGCAACTTGATATTTACCTCTTTTCTTTCTCTGTTGTTGCTATATTTGTTAAAAACTCGAGAAAAGTCAGCAGGCCAACAGTCGTGGTTTTGTGAGAGAAGAGAGTAAAGTGTATGTAAAGAGAGAGAGAACGTGGTTTGTGAAATTTACCGTTATTATGTGAAAGAAAATCTGAAAAGGGAGAGAGAAAAATATTAATTAGCGTATATAGTGCCTTAAGTGTAGGATATAACTATAATTAGATATTTTGCTATAAAAGATAAAAGGTAGCTATATAATATAATTTTTTAAAATGGTATTTATTTAAAATAAATAGGGTACTAAGCTTTTCTAAAATTTCCTTTTTGAATTAAGTACAAGTACAAAAATTGGTACTATTTTGACAGGAGACAATTGGTGAGGCCCACAGGGGCGTGGAACAATGGTCTTGGGCTTGGAAAGAGTCTGCGAAGTGGGCTTAATTAGCAAATACAAGTCCACCGGCCCTCGACGAGGGGTCCAACTCCAACGTAATTGTTTGTTCCAAAGTTGTAACACCTGTAAAGTGTAGCAATGGAGTCCTCTTGAAGCGACCACGTAACCAACAACCAAAATACTAAACTCCTATTTTCAGGAAAAATCCAGACATGCAACCATCAATACTGCAAGGCAAAAGCAGTGGAACTCTGACTCTCAGCTGAGCTTAATTAAGTTAATCAAATAATGGCGAACGGAAGGGGTGGCAGAAGCCTAATGGGACCATTCTTGGTCATAAACTTTGTAGTTTATTTAATAGTACTAGGACTTGCTGGCTGGTCACTTGATAAATACATCGATGGCGAACAAAATCACCCTCGTATGTTAGCTACTTCTTCATAAAATAATCTTGTGTTGAGCTCTGTTTTATAGTATAGTTTGTTTAATTTTGTGTCTGTTCAATGTGAATTATGTAACAGATTTAGGAGGGAATCCATCAACAAGTTTTATGTTGATGTTTGCATTGATTGGTGGAGTCATGGGTGCTTCCTCTATGCTGGCGGGGTTTGTTCATCTCAGAAAATGGACTACTCAAACTTTGACTAGTGCTGCTTCTTCAGCTATCATCTCTTGGGCCATTACTGCTCTTGCTTTTGGGTACTACTAACAACTATTGCTACCTCCCACCTATATTCTCTTTGTCATTTGGCCAATTGAATTTGTTTCAAAAGAGTTCGTATTTTAGAAAAATAAGAAATGTTTATTAAGTACCTTATATCCAAATTAACCCTTACCACTTCAATTAGTGGTAATGGAGTATTAAGTAAGTAGTATGATGTTTATGGTTTAGACGAATGCTTTATGGTTATTACTAATCAGAGGCGGACCTACCCACCGATAACTTCAGAAAAAATATGTGTATATATCTTAAATTACAAGTATATATTTCAATTGGCATCCTAAGATTTAAATTTTGCATTGTGGGGCACAACTTGACTTTTTAGTACATTGTCTGGATTCATTCGGACTTCAGCATATGCGCAAATTTGTATTCGAGGGTGGTACCCTGCCACTTTCAAATGCTGGGTCCATCTCTAATAACTATACGTGTTGTTCTCAACACGAGGGCATTTAAGACATAATATGGATCGAAGGCAGTATTCCTTTTATTATTTTGAGACGTTCCATGATTAGACAATAAATTGCTCATCTTCTCACAATGTTGGATGAACCTGTGATGCAGTCTAGTTTGCAAGCAGATAATAATGGGAGGGCACAGAGGAAAACGCCTGGTAATTGTCTCTGTAAAACCTCCATTTATTACCACCATTTCATACTCAGCTACAAAATTTGTTCTTCTATTAACAAGTCATTTCAACTTATCTTTTTGTTGGTATAATTAATGGACAGCAAACTTTGGAAGCCTTGATTACCATAGCAATGGTGAGTCAATTGCTGTATATACTGTTGCTGCACGCCGGCATTTTCCGCAGCAGGTACGGGCCTGTTTATGGTTCCTATGGGCCTCAGCACTAGCCAAGTCTCCCTTGGTATGGCTCGGTGTATAGAAATAGCTAATGGAAGTCTTTGCTTAGAATATACATCTAAAAGGTTTTGTGGGATGGCTCAGCTACCATTCTTCTTCTTTTAGTAATAAGTTTATATGGATGCTTATTTGCAGCATACAATAGACCCCACTTTGTACTGTCAATATCTGAGGTACACTTGGACATTGTATGCCTAATATCTGGGGAAAAATATTCTTGCTTTTCAACAGTGGTTAAAATTTACATGTCACTCCATTTCCGTCAACTGGCATATATAGCAAGAAATAGCTATACATGAAAAAATGGATTTCCGGCTAAGATGGGGAAACTCGAGTTTCCACATTTACAAGCTACAAGGGTTGGTTAGTTCCTTCATTGAAATGCAAGGTTTACGTAGTTGTGGACTGATCCAAAAGAGAAGGCACTGAAGACCGAAACCAACCGATAAGAGAGGAAACAGAAAGAACCACCTCAATGGTTTTCCAGAAGAGGGAACCAAGAGATTGTTTCGTATAGACCTCGGCCTCAAGGAAAGCATACATAGAGAAGAAGCCATGGAAAAAGAAGCGGTAACAACAATAAGAAAACCAAAGCAGAAAAAACATCTGGTAGTAATAGAAATCTAATAATAAGGAAATATGAGAATAATACTAATACTGCTAATATGGAAAAGAAATACACTCAACTAACTACTAACCTTATAACTTAATTCTCGACCTTTACACCCTCCTATCAAGAGTCATATCTTCGTTAAGCTGAACATGTGCTTCATATACAGCCTAATCAATGCTCCCCAATACTTTTTTGACCTACCTTTACCTCTTCTCCGATTCCCCCAACGGTTCCCTTTCTTCTCCGATTCCCCCCACGGTTTCCCTTAACCGAAGGAATTTATACAGTTACAAGTTTTTAAACCAACACTAATGGAGACAAGTCTTTCAGGTTTTGTAAAAACTAAAAGAAGCATTAATAAGAACTTTTCTCTAATGACGTTTGCAAACACTGAAAATCTTCTGACTTTTTTTTCTTTTACATGTTTTTGAGAATAAACGCATTCGACCACGCTGCGTGCATGAGAACATAATATCCTAGTACAAAAATTCGCACTCTTGGCATTGTAATTCCAACAACTAGATTTAAGCAGCAAGAAAGAAAAATTCCCTTATTCTCAATATAGTACCAGTAGAGCATATTCTATTAATCCTACATATTTCTGCCTCTTTATAATATCAGCGCCTCTCTACCCCATAGTTAAAACTGGATTTTCCACTTGAGTCACATGGACAGCTCATAATCTTCATATTACAAGTGCAACCACCTTATACAACAGTGACACTGAATCAGATATCTGAATTCAGATTTACATCTGACACTTTCATACGGACTATTCGGATTCTGCCTGCCACTCCACAATCGCCAGAGTATGGCGGCCACCACAAGCAACGAGTTTAGCACACCAACGCCCTCCTTCAGTGCTGCTGACATCACTTGGAGGTGGAATATTTATTGGAACTTCTGATGGGTGGCCAGTTGTCACCTTTCTACCATATCCTAGTCGTCCATGGTCTCCACGCCCGAACTGCCACATACAAATAGCCAGTGAGTTAGTTCATCTTCAAGTTAGGGCAGTAAGACGGTAATGCAGAATAACTAATCACCAATTGCATCGTAATGTTTTACTACACCAAATGGCTATGTAATCTCTTTAACGTTTTAAATGCCATAAGATAAGATAGAATTTCTGATGACCACTGGCTCTCACTCCCTTGGAGATTGATGTTTCAAATGGAAATATGAGGTATTATCTACAAATGCCGGAGATATAAGCATTTTAACCATTGTACAACACACTCACATTTCAACTTTTTCCAAAAGCTTAAATACGGATTGCCCACAAGATTATTATTCAAATGCTTGTTGCCATAACAAACTGGCTAATGAGCTTTTAGACAAGACATTTGCATGTTTTCCTTACAGATTTTTAAACAAGTAAAACGATGGGCTTTAGCGTGAGCCTAGCTTGTGCAAATTGAAGGCTTAGAAGGAAAAGAGTGTCTGATACTCACAGAAAACATACGACCATCATGTGTTAATGCAACAGAGTGGGTGCCCCCACATGATACCTGCATCATCAGAAAAGGAAATCACCTACATAAATTATTAAAAGAAAAGCAAGGAGNGATAGGCATAGGGTGGACAAGCAAAAAAAGAATAAACAACAACAACGACCCAGTGAAATCCCACTAGTGGGTCTGGGAGGGTAGTGTGTACGCAGACCTTACCCCTACCCCGAGGGGTAGAGAGGCTGTTTCCGATAGACCCTCCGCAAAAAAAGAATAAATACTGAATTAAATTCACCATACCCTGGATCAAATAGTTCAGAAATATGTCGGAAACAACAAGAAACAAATTCTTAACTCAAGCATTCATATTCAGATTACTCTTCTTCCACTCTCTATGAACTATGAAGCAATGATACCAAATTTAATGTTGCATCTCGGTATCAGACACCACTTGGTCACACACATGCCAAGTGTTGGACATATTTTATTTTTGGTTTTCCTGCTTTCTTTTATTTTCTTGGCACGCATGTCCTTGGTTAATTTGTTGGGCCAATTGGTTTAGTTACAAATGTCCTATTTTTGGATGCCAAATTTGTCAATTGACGAGAAATATTGGGGCACCGATGTAGTGAACAAAAACTTTGAGACCGTAAGCCTAACAAATAGCTGAATCACCCTAAATCTACACCCTGGAGACCTCAACGACAATGGAAAATATACAATCAAACTTGAAGAAAAACCGACATTATTACCCAAACTCGAAAGAAGAAAAATAGATACTATTGGATAAAGAAAAGAGCATTGTTCTACCTTATTACCCCTGATTTGCTGTTTTGTTTCTCAAAATTCCAGTCTTTTTTTACTTCTTTTTCTTCAGTTCCACTCTGACTGTTCTATTTTCTTTTGTTTCATCTTTTAAGTTTGACTGATTTTCTTATTTGCAACTCTATTATGTTTTGCTTTTCAATTGCAGATTAAAATTCTCTTTCTTTGCTACATGTTTTATCTGGTGCTATTTAGATGCTTTATAAAGAATATATAGAATCTAGATTATTTTTGCGTTTCTTTGACAGTTATTAATACTCCTAGCAATGTTCCACATATTAGCTTAGGTGACACATAATTTGGTATAATATAGTCTCCAAGTTGCGTTGTGTCCCCCCTTATAAAAAAAATGTTGTGTTGCGTCCCCTTAGTTCTGTAAACTTTTTTGACCTCCTGTCCAGTGTCCATATTTGCGCCACTTAGATGATGAGCAATATTTCAGTCTCAAGTAGATTCTAGCAAAGGCATCACTCTATGTCAGTCTAAAATAATGAACACAAGTACAATTCTTTATACAGCTAGCTTCCCACCTCCATCAGATACAAAAAGAGTGCTGACGAAGCACAGGGCAGTGACTTCCATAGTTAAGACCAGAAGAGAGACCCACTAATATTGAAGGATATGAAGAAGTCACCTGAACAATGTTCTCCCCAGCTAAAAGCTGAACCTTCTGCGGCACCATTTTACTACTCTTGTCATCTCCAAATCCAAGTCTACCATGTTCCCCTCTTCCCCAGCCATAAACCTGCAGTAAGCAGAGGTTAAAACACAGTTGACACAGGTTGTTGACCGTTGAGAAAATGCATATTGCCTACTATATGCAGCTTCTTTAAACTACATTATTCGTATGTAAGAAGATTTATTTAAAGGAAAAAAAACACCAATCATCAAGTATTTTCACTTTGGTTTTGCGCAAGCCAGAAATAAGAGGATCAGGAAATCTATTGATCAGATACCATAACAATGCCATATGGTCAGATACCCAACAATTCTGCCGGATGTGTCTTTTATCTTGACATAACATATATACTAACTGTTGTTAAAAAAAAGGTACAGGACAAATGAAGCAAAAATATCAAGCAGAAATAATATAAACAGTATAACACTAGATATACCTCTCCCTCATCTGTCAAAGCTGCAGAATGCCATCCTCCAGCAGCAATATCAACCTGGACATGACAACAGAAACAGCTTACATAGTTTTTCTATATACATCTTACATTCTCTTATTGATGTATATTATTATTTACTATTACTCTTTGGCCCTGTTTCAGTTCTAAAATCAATAGAATTGATAGAGGCTGGTTATTTCATGCACCAAGATTGTTGGTAAGGTAATATATCCAAAGAAAATTGGACTGAACTACTAGACACACAGGAGTCAGGACATAACTTTTTTGAGAAAAAGAAGATACACAAGGGGTGTGTTTGGTATGAAGGAAAACATTTTCCGGAAAATGTTTTCCAATTTTCTCATGTTTGGTTGGCTTAAATGTTTTGGAAAACATTTTCCTCATCAACTCATTTTCCTTCAATTGGAGGAAAATGTTTTCCCTATCAAGAGAAGGAAAACATTTTCCAAAACTCCTTCTCAAGCTTCCCCACCCTATTCTTTAACCTCACCAACCCACCCCACCCCACACCCACCAACCTNATTTACAAGTTCAAAATTTTACAAGTTCCAAAATTATGAGTTCGGAGATCTATGTGTTTCAAAGTTTACGGGTTTAGAAATTATAAAGTTTACTGGTTTGAAATTTCGCGGTTTCGAAAGTTTTACGGTTCAGAAATTTATGAAATTTGTGGGTTTGGAAGGTTGTTGGTTCCAAAGTTTATGGCTTCATGTTTATTGTATCAAAATTATTTATGAATACTCTTGAGAAAATATTTTCCTTGATTTTGCGTACCAAACACCAAAAAATGAATAAGATTACTACTTGTTTTCCAAGAAAACATTTTCTTGGAAAACATTTTCCATGGAAAACATTTTCCTTTATACCAAACACACCCAAGGACAAGCAGAAGATGGAGGAAAATGACCAATTAAAAATCATCTCGCAAACAAAATGAGTCAAAATGACACGAAGCACAGATTAATACAAACCAAAGTGAGACCAGATAGCCCTTGAACAGCAATGGGTTGTGATCTTGGCTGGGTATCACCAGTTCCAAGTTGCCCATACTCGTTATTACCCCATGCCATTAAAACTCCATCATCAAGAAGTGCCAAGTTATGAAAGGCTCCTACGGCAATCAATCTCACACTTGCAAGACCT